AAATCAAGTCAAACCGATGATTTTCTCTAATAAAAAGAATATGAAAATGCGCACCCATATGAGGGTGAAAAAATGGAGATTTCATGCAGAGAATCAATAGTGCCGTCGGTCACAGAATGTTGAATATGTTACTGAAAAAAAATAACATAGAACAAAAATAAACTGCCTATTTGATATCCAAAATAAAGATAAATCAAAATGATTACATAACAATCATTATCATCATATCTCAACAAATTATTGTTAATCCCCAAATTACAAAAAAAATATTGACTCAAGAAGAATAAATCTACAAAAAATAAGTTTCAATCATTTATAAGGCATATCACAAGAGAAGTACATGTTTGTTCTAATGTTGGGCACAAGAAGGCTATAAAACTACGCTCAAATTTATTTTGGTTGATTCAACATTGGAAGTATACTTCAAAAAAAGAGCTTTTGCATACATACCACATAATTCAAATAGTGATTCATTTACTAAACATTTATATGAAAAAATCAAAATATTATTACAACAAGATTCATGAAACTATCCAACATACTTTTACAGCTTAATTGTCTCTGTTCAATAACAGATGGAGAAAAAACAAGCTATTGACTTGAACGCAACAAACACATACATATATTGATTTATCTTAGAAACATCTACCAATAACTGCAGGCTATTCACCATATCATTAAAATATTGGGGGCTATACATTCATACCTCAGTTTTTATAAATTTACAAATCTAACAACTAAATTTTGAAATTTGAAACTTACTTATAAATACGCTTTAGAGTCATAATCAATAAATACATAGAATCTGATTTGCATGTATTAAATGCCTCAAAGAAAAAAAAAAAAATCAAATTAGAAATTTAAGTGTTACACACAATAATATCATTACAAATCATCAAAAAAAAAGTTTGTGCACATTAAATAGATTGTTTTCAGTTCAAATATACAGAATAAAATCAAAATCATGTTTTACAGAAAGTTTAGAGGAACAGCAAAGTATTATGAATAAATGTAACTCTTATTTTAATGGTTAATTTTGTTTGTCGTCGCCGTTGTGAAGTATGCTTAGAAACACCATAGTCCTGCTCTCAAATCTGGCTACCAGCTTACCACACAGATGATCGTTATTGGGTTACCTTATCATCATTCATCAATGGTTTGGAGAAGGAGAGCAATGCAACCATGCATGAGAAATTTGGGGATTTCAGACATCTTTCTACGTCGAATCCGATCCCGTCGTTCCTTCACCGAGTTAAGAGGGTTGCAGCTGCTGGCCACATCGAGGACTGAGGACATGAAACCAGTGCGCGTCTTGATCGTGGAAAAAGATGGGAGGAATCGGACCTCCGCCCTCCTCGCTGCATTCAGGCTACTATCCGAACATCCAGAGTCCTTATCGTGAGTAAAACTTGCTCAAGAGCGAAAGCAAAAGAGGAGGGGGTCAGTGTGGAAATCAAGAGATATATCAAGAGGTCAAAGACGAAATAGTCTCGTCCGATCACTTGGCGACAATTTCAAAAGAGACAATTGACCCCAATGGCTATATAGATCTTAAGGGAGATGATTATAAGGACGCGAGCTCGCAAAACAAATGTTTGCAGTGCAAGTAATACCGTGACTTTTATAATACATTAGACTTCTAGATAACATGTCTTGTCAGCAAGAGCAAGCCTAAGAGGTTCGTTTCACATGACAATCATAACGATAAGCTGACTTCGGATGAAAAAAAAAAAGATGACCTGCCAACCCTTTTTCGTTCATTGGCATGTGATCCTTTGGTCTGAATTTTTATTTTTTTTTAATGTTTACAAAATAAATTCATCCACCCCTATTTAAATGAGATAGCATACTATCCCCCCCCAACAGAATTAATTATAATACATCTTGTGTTCACTCTCATCTTGTCCTCACAGAAATGAATAGACTAACCTAAACAGCATAAAACATTACCCCCACAAACTAGAAGTTTCAGTAAGCTCCAACCATAGATCTGACCTATTAAAAGTTACATGCAGAAATAAGCAAGAAATATGAAAAATAAAAAACTAAAAAAAAAAAAAAAAAAAAAAAAAAAAAAAAAAAAAAAAAAAAGCAACTCCACCCACAATTATTATATAAAGATCAAACAAAACAGAGGACATGGTGACGCTCCCAGTGCCAACCTAACCCCTCCCTACACAGCTCAGCACTCAGTAACAGAAGAAAACAACCAAATTGGCTTTTCATATACATTTAACGGATAGACATACACACATCCCAACAAATATTACACGCCCAAATACACCGGATATGATAAACCTGAGCTAGAGGAAGAAGAAATCCTCCATTTTCATCATTTCAGTCTACCTACAATTCACTCGCTGCTCTTGTACTCCATCTTTCCATCTCTATCGAGTTGGTGTTGGGTCGACTGAGAGCTCAGCAGAGCTCACACCTCATAAGGAGAACTGGGACTCTTTGCCAACCTTCCTCCACCACAAGCTCGCTCGTATGCATCAGAGGATGATTTCCTCCGAAACCGGTTCCATTCCTTTCCACCTGATAAGATGCCATAAAAAGCAAAAAACAAAAAGTTTTACTAAAATCAGAGCGCTAGAGATATGGACAATAACACATCAATAATGCTTGAATAACACACAATAACACCTGAATAATACACAATACCACCTGAATAACCCGTGGGGTTGTGTTACCAGGACGATCATCTCCACCTTCAACTCCACGGCATAATTTCATTGGACCACGCACGTAGCTCTACGTGCGGAGTCCTGATGTAATATTTTGCAATATTTTTTCAGAGATATGAGTGTAATTTTGTGCAATGAATTTACATATCACACACAAGTAAAAAAACCCAAAATTCTGGTCAAAAGTTTGTGTATTTTGCATTAAATAATCCCCATGTTTTATATATTTAGGCTTGGATTGTGTACGAATTAGGGTTCAGGCTTGCCAAAGGAAATTTTGAGGAATCCTAAAGATTACTTCTAAGAATTTCATTAGCAACCAAAGCCGGATTTACGAGATTTGAATGTGCGAAATATTGACAACAAGATAAAAGTTATTAATTCGCATCGAAAAAACTCTAAATTTCACTCGAATTGCAAAATATTGACAACAAAATTAATTTATAAGTTAAACAATCTAAAAATTTGCCAAATCAAGATTTACAAGTTTTATTAATTCAAGATTTCCTATATGGTATTTAGATTCAAGAACCATAAAGGTTGTTCTCCAGATATCCAAATCCTAAACGGACAAAGAAAACACTACCAGAACCTTAAAAAAAAAAGGGCACAGAGTACACGGATCCAGAAACTTCCATTGATTTGCAAAGATCCACTGCTTAGAAACAAAACACAGAAACGCGCTAAGTAAAATTACAAAATCCAAGACAAAGAATACCGGAAAACGGAGATAGTGGAGGAGTCGATCCTGCAGGTGATGCTGGCGGTGTCCCGCTAGCCGGCGAAGGGCATCCCGCCGGCCTCTTGATCATAATACTCCTTGTCACCCGTGGCAACTCTTCCTGCAAATCTTCGCTATACGTTCTAGAAATTGTTCCGCCGACGATCTCGTCTGCTACCGGCCAAAAACCCAAATAAGAGTGTTAGATCTAACATGTTCAATGGAAAACTGAACTTGAGAAGAAGAAGAAGAAGAAGCAGAGCAAGCTTAAGAAGATTAGGGTTTCAGCCTACCTTTCCCAGGATTCAACTGTAGGGAAGTGCTTCCGGAGGCGGCCGAGACCTGTCTCCGGCCGAGGTCCGGCTAGTGTGTCATCCCAGAGCTTATCGAGAAGTCCCATAGTCTGCTGCCTAATTACAAAAATGCTACTGAAAAAAGCGAAAGGATCGCCTCCTTTAAGATTAGAGATCGACAAAGGTTAAGATGGGGAGATTTGGGAGATATTTATAAAGGGTCTCTCGATTGGCCGCTGATCATATCCGTCAATTTGGAAATAATGTTGACGTGGCAGCGGATAAGCACAGCACGGTAACAAGATAAGATCGAACTTTGCTGGCTGGATCGAACAGGATATGTGTTTGCGATTTTGCCACGTGGATACACCTACAGGTGGGGCCGCAGCACGTGATGGAGGAAGGGACCACCCCGATTGTTTAGGCATCTTTGCAAAAATAAGTTACATATGTCCAATGTTCTGATTTTTTTTGTTTTATTCTATTTTCATATTTAACAATATTTTTTTTGGTAACGTTTACATACATATCACTCTATTCTATTGTATTTATACATGTTACATTGGAGCTTTCATATTTACACACATAGCAATCAAATATTAAATTTTACATAAAAATAACATTATCACCACATTTTAAAAGTGAAATACATCTTTTCATGCATATATTTAAATGTGTCTCGAAATATAACATCTCTACGTTTACTTGAGGGAGCTGAGTTCTAAATATTATATTGGAGCATGAGTTATTTTCACATAGCTAAAGACACATGTGTTGGAAGTTGACTACAAATAGACAACTATACTGATATATAATGCAGATGCACAGTGATTGATACATAATTATATGATGATATATATGTTGACCTCACTTTTGGTTGAGGTCTAGAAACTTCTTTAGTAGCCTAGGTCTAGCCATAGGACTTTTCTATTGACTAGTCTTAGAAAACTAGAAAAGGTACCCTCACCATTAGAAACTCAAAACCTCAAAACTCTTCTCTTTACTCAACCTGAAATTCCACATATTGATCTTAACTTCTAGCACATAGTAGGTAAGATCATTATGAGGGAACTCAAGGAAAGTTCCTATAGGACTACTTAGCCTTAGGATTCACCCTAGGTGTTGGTTTGGAGTTAAGGTATACCATACCCCCACATTACCCTGGCTAAGATCAATACATGAGAGCCCAAAATGGGATTTCATTGATCCATGGTTCATTTAAAATGGATATTTATCTAATTCTGCTTGAAATGCCCAACTTGGTCTTTGCCCCTAGGCACATCCAAATTACATAACTGCCATTAGTACCCAAATTTGGCCAAAATTCTCAAATTTTTGCCAAAATACCCAAAATTGATCAAAACTTATTCCAAGCACTTTGAATATATCCACATTTGCCAAAATTGACAAAAATTTCAAAAAAATGGCCAAATTACCAAAATGCAATTTGGCCCAAAAATCCAAAAATTCCCAAAAAATCCCAATAAATCCAAAATATTTCCAATTTCATTTTGTCCCACTACACCATGATCTAATTTGGTCAATTTGAC